AGGAAGGTTTTCCGTGGCCACAGTGGCACTAAGGAATAGTGCTTCAATGGTGTAGAAACCTGTGAGTGTTCTTTAAGTCCGACGAGCGGCTTCTCTGCTATTCAAACTTACTGGGTGCCCTGCCTAGTCAAGAACTGCCGAAATACTGTCTTTCCTGGGTTTAAAGGCTGGCTTTCCAAAATGGCACTCTGTAAAGTATCACTGCACTGACCTTGCTTTTCCCCTCCGTACAGTGAGTCAGATGGCAACCCCAGCACTGAAGATGAATCTAGCAAGGGACATGAGGATTTATCTCCTCATCCACTCTCTGCTTCATCCGATGGTGTCACCAACCTCAGCCTTCCTGCTCACATGGAGCCAGTATATATGCAACAAATTGGAAACGCTAAGATATCACTAAGCTCTTCCGGCGTCTTGTTGAATGGAAGCTTGGTACCTGCAAGTACTTCACCTGTTTTCCTTAATGGTAATTCTTTTATTCAAGGACCCAATGGAGTTATCCTTAATGGATTAAATGTGGGAAATGCACAGTCGGTGCCACTGAACCCACCAAAAATGGCATCAAACATTGTGAGCAATGGCATAGCCATGACTGACATTCTGGGGCCCGCCTCTCAGGATGTGAAGGAATTCAAAGTCCTCCAAGGTTCTGCAGCTAACTCAGCAGCGGCCACCACCTCCTACAGCCCCAGTGCCCCTGCATCATTCCCAGGGCTGATACCCAGCACTGAGGTGAAAAGAGAAGGCATCCAGACAGTGGCGTCCCAGGACGGAGGCTCCATAGTGACTTTTACTACGCCAGTGCAACTTAACCAGTATGGCATTGTCCAGATCCCCAATTCCGGGACACAAGGTCAGTTCCTTAATGGGAACCTTGGATTCTCTCCACTGCAGCTGCCTCCCGTTTCGGTGGCGTCGTCACAAGGTAAAGGTCTCACTGGGTACCGTAGTGCAACAATGACTGCATGTGGGCCAGCTGCTGTACATGATGCATTAGGTGAGAGCTGTGATTGATGTGACCACTCAGGTGCCTTAGGAATTGCCACAGCTGGAGAGTAACCTTGACTTGATTCTCGTCCTTCACAGCAAACAGCCTGCTTGGTTGCCTCACATCCTGGGGATGAGCTTTTATTTTCCTAGCAACTGAATGGAAAAATACCGTTCATAGCAAGTCTTGCCAGTGCCACAATTACAGAAATGTGATAAGTCAATCAATGCTTACAAAATAACCCACTGCTTGACATCTTAATATTAAAAATTAATAATATTGCTTAGGACACAAAATAAGTCTAGCAGTGGGTAAGGACTGTCTGTGTATGCTTCTCCTACGTATTATTTATCTGACCCCCTAATCCCCAATGTGTGTGAGAAGAGCAAACTCAAAAGACCTTGTTACTCTAATAATTAAAGCCAAACAGACTTAAAGGAACACCAGGGAAATGTGTGCTTGGGTTTCTAGTGGGCTCGTGTGTCTCCCCCTCTAAATGTGTCTTTAAGAAGACAGCCACCAGCCTTATTTCAGAGGTTGATGAATTTTCTATGAAATTCAGGAAACCTGAGGCTGCTAAGCCTTCACTAACCATAAGCCTATCTGGGTCCCTCCGTGTCATTTTCTCTACGTTCGAATGACCATGGTTAGAATCTGGCAGTAGATTGCAGAGGGGTCAAAATTTAGAAAGGGAAGATGTTAATATAGGTTTGCTTTCCAGTCAGCAAATCTTGAACAAATCTCGACAGATTTTTTTTTTAATGAAAACAAAATAAGCAATGTCTGGCCTTAAAGTTGTTCAGTTTCTGTAAGATTGTTTTACCCCCGAATTAAATACACACCGCTCTTTCCCAACGATGATTTATGTAAACTGTTTTGAGGAATTAGCAGGAAAATGATTGTGAGGTGAGCTGTAATCTGTTTCTTCTGTAATCGGGTTTCTTAGGTAAGAGGTAGTCAAATACAGCAGTCCTACAATATACTCTACTAACCATTTTTTCCCCCTCCTTGTTCCAGGCTTTAGAAAGATTGAATCCAAGACAAAGCGCAACCTAGGACAAAAACACGATAACCATAGGGGGGGAAGTACAAGTACTTAAGTGTTACAATTATTTAATTTACCTTCCTGTCAATAGGTAACATTTTAAAGACAACAAATCTGAGCAAAAAACGATGGTGTGTACATCCAAGAAAGAGAAAAGCCAGACATACTTTTGATGTATAATCTAGAAAAGTGCTGCCAGAAAATGATAATGAACTAATAGCTAATTGTTTAAAATGAGACCTTTAATAAGGATAAGAAAAGCATTGTTCAATTACTGTTGGTAAGATCAAGTGACAGGGCTGCCCATCCTTAGACTCTCCGGTGTGTTGGAGGGCTAAGTTTAACCAGATGGGCCCAGGAACGATGTTCCTCGATAGAAGTTGAGCATTATAATTGTTGTTAAGGCCTTTTCGGGTGACTCAGCCTTTCTCTCAGCCAGATAACCTTTCTCCAAAATTCCTATACAAGATAATCTTTCTGTAGTTGGGGATTTATATGGAAAAGTAAAATATCCACATATGTGATTCATTTTATAATATAAGAAAAACAAGGGTGTGAGGTTTTTCTTTTTATCATCATCAATAATCTATTGTTATACTTTATACCCATATGATTTTCAATTGGAATTTTTTACTGCCTAAAAAAGTATTGTCCAATGTATAATTCAGTTGCCGTTATACTTAACCATCAAGCTTTAGATCATATCTGCTTCACCCCTTTCGCATATATATATAAAATCATTGGCATAGTGGTTATGCATTGGCCTTCAATGCGGAAGGTCAGCAATTATAAACCACCAGCTACTCCTCAGGAAAAAGACAAGCTTTCCCCTCCTGTTCAGAGGTTACAGCTTCAGAAACTCACAGGGGCAGTTCTATCCTCTCCTGTAGGGTTACTATGAGTCGGCATTTTGATTTTATACATTAAGGAGCCCCAGTGGCGATGTGGGTTATGCATAATAACTGCTAACTACAAGGTTGGAAGTTCAAATTCACCAGCTGCTCTGCAGGAAGAAGATGGAGTTATCTGTTCCCATAAACATTTACAGCCTCTGAAACCCTATGTAAGAGTCTGTGAGTCCAAACTGACTCCAGGTGCATGGATTTGGTTTAGGGTATACATTCAGAAGTATGATTTATTTTAAATGGCAGTTGGGGAAATACAGCATCTATTATATTAGGGGGAGCCCTGGTAGAGCAGTGGTAAAAATGTTTGCCAACTATAAATGGTCAGTGGTCCAAATCCACCAGCCAGTCTACAGAAGCTATGTGGGCAGGGTGCTTCTATAGAAGTTACAACCTTGGAAACCCAATGGGGCAGTTCTCTGTCCTGTAAGGTTGCTCTGAGATCGGATCAATTCAATGGCAGTGAGGAATTATGTTATTTTGAGTCTAACAAAAATAGCTAACAATTTGTTCACATCCACACTGGCAAATGATTGTACACACAAATAAATAAACATCTATTGTAGCCACCTAAGGGAATGTCTGAATTCCAACCTTTTCAAATAAGTGCAGTTGTTTCATCTCATGTGCAAACACTCCTAGAAGAAAGGTTTGTCTTAATGCCAATATTTCAAGGATGCATGCTAAAGGGTAGATGTTTGAAAAGTGTTCAAATAGAGTTATCTTAGTCATTGTTGGTTTTTTTTCTCCTGCATTCCTTTGGAGTTAGGATGCTTAAAAATGTTTGGAAAACACAAATAACTTTGTGACACTTATTTACCAATTGTTGTAATTTGCGAGTTCCAACTCATGGCAACCCTGCCTGTGTGTCAGAAAATAAGACAGCTCCATAAGGTTTTCATGAGAGAAAGACAAGGCTTTCTACTCCCATAAAGAGTTACATTAGAAACCCACAGGGGCCAGTCTCCCCTGTCCTATGGGCTCCCCAGTATGAGCCTACTGAGGGCAGTGAGTGGGGGGGGTTGAATGCCAACCTTTCTGCCAGTAGTCAGTACAGACTCATTCTGTTATTCTAATATTTCAAGAAGAGAATCTTTGGGGTGAGTTATCTTTTAAGTTAACTAAAAGTTACCTTTGAGTTACCTGAAAACACGACTTTTAACATTGTGTTGATTTCTCAAACTTAAGTGAGGCATTCACTGAGTATTTAGGATTAGCATTAAGTAACCCATCTGAATTATTAGGTTATAATCTCTTCCCCCAATCTACCTTCCCTCCACTAGCAGGATTTGAAGGCCTGGCTCATCTACTTGGCAACATTTCACTGTGCCTATGTACAGACTCGGGAAGAAAAAGATTTTATTTGATGTGTGTAAGTGTGGGCGAGGTCATAATTTATCGACATTGTCTGTTAGGATTTGAAGAGAGGCGGTTTTCAAGTTTAAGGGGTTTGTTTTTGTTTTTTGTTTTTTTTTTCCTTTGGTCCCCAGACCATTAGAGTCAGAGTCTCAAAAGAGAACCTTTTAGGCAACCACTGACAAAGTTCTTTATGTGAATCTGTATTTTAACTGTTCCTTTCAATTAATATCATTCTTCCTATCACTACATTGCTATTTGAAATGTCAGATCTGGCACAGCAAAAGAAAAAAACACAACTCTTGAATGTTTGTTGACTTGACATCACTTTATGGCTAGTTTGGTAGTAGTTTGAAACTTGTCTGTACAGGCTTATATGGCTAATGCTAAGCCTCAGGGTAACTCATTTTGTGTGGTATTTTCTGTGTTTCCATTATGTCAGTTACTGAGTATCCTGAACAAAGGCTTTTTATTGTGCATTTATGTTTTCTAGTTCTAACTGGCAACGTTAGCCATAACTATCAACTCAGAGACATCAGTTGATAGTAACCCCTTGCCATCAAGCTTACAGGAGCAGCCAGCCACATTTTTCTCTCATTGAACAACTGGTGGGTTTGAACTACTGACCTTGTAATTGGACCCTCAAAACATAACCTGTTATACCTCTAGGTCCAGGAAGACTGAAATAGGAAACTTAGAATAGATTTCTTTTTTTATTTTTGTAGACGTGATTTCAAGACCACTAATTTTTCACTCCCAATGGGTCATTAATATCACCTGGAGGGAGGATGGATGGATGGATAGATAGATTGATAGATTGGCTGATTCTAGGATCTCCCTGGCATTTAATTGAGTCAGACTCTTCAAGAAATAAACCCCCCAAAGCTAGTTGCTATCCAGTTGATGCCAACTCAGACGACCCCATGCATATCAGAGTAGAACTGAGCTCAGTGGCGTTTTCAATGACCTGTTTTTCTTATTGCAAACAGGTCATCCGGCCTTTCTTCCGTGGCATGGACCCTACGTGGACTCAAATTGATATTTGGGTTAGCAGCTGGAGGCTTAGGCGCCTTCAGAAGTGTTGCTGGAAAAATTCCGTTATCTTTTCCTTCCATTTTTCCCAGAATTTTTTGAAACCCCCTCCCACCACCCAAAGAATCTATAGTTTTAAGCACTGTGGTGATTCTAGTAAAGTAACATTGGGCTCTGATTGTTAGCTGCAGGTGTTGTGTCTTCGTAAATAGCATTGCTAAGAGAAGCCGTGTGTATAAAAAGTAACACTTTTAGATTCCCTATCTCTGCCATCAGCAATAATCTGTACTTTATTCTTTCTAGGTCATATTTCAGTCAGTTCAAGCACTTCAGATGGGAGCACATTCACGAGTGAATCCACCACACTCCAGCAAGGAAAGGTTTTCTTCAGCTCTCTTTCCCCCAACACAGTCGTGTACACGGTCCCTAATTCAGGCCAGACTGTAGGATCTGTTAAACAGGAAGGCTTGGAGAGGAGCCTGGTGTTTTCTCAGTTGATGCCTGTCAATCAGAGTGCACAACTAAATGCAAACCTGTCTTCTGAAAATATCTCAGCAAGTGGCCTCCATCCCCTGGCCTCCTCGTTAGTTAACGTCTCCCCAACTCAGAACTTCTCCCTGACTCCCCCGACACTGCTCAGCCCCACCGAGCTCAATGCTGACATGGCCGATAGCCAGCCAATGTCTGCACCAGGGACAAGCAAATCCACGGTGACATCTGTCAGCAGCACTGACTATGCAACTCTTCAGAACTGTTCCCTTATTTCTGGTCAAGACCTAATGTCGGTCCCTCTGACCCAGGCTGTCCTGGGGGAAATCGTTCCTACAGCGGAAGACCAAATAGGTCACCCCTCCCCAGCAGTACACCAGGATTTTGTCAGAGAAAATCGTTTGATTCTGCAGGCAGTAGCTAACATAAAAGACCATTTCTTACCCGATTCCGAGGGCAAAGCACCAAGCAACTCCATGATGCTGGACTCCAAATCCAATTATGTCCTCGATGGCAGGGTCGAGGCAGTCTGTGAGGACCTGGGAACAGACAAAAAGGAGCTCGCCAAGCTCCAGACTGTCCAGTTGGATGAAGAGATGCAAGATTTATAAACTTTATTTCCCTTATATTTTTTGGCACCTACAAAGCGATCTTTTCAAAGAGCCCTGAGAACATCAAGCATTTTCCCATTGAAAGGAAAACACTCTAGTTTTGCAAGCAAATGTATTTAAGAGATTTTGGGTGACGGATCAGGTGAAGTAAACAGCCGTGGAGCGACATTACTGTAACCTTTTTGTTCCCATACAATATCTACCCTCTGAAACAGATGGAGACAAAGGCGCAAGATCAACTATATCGAGGCAACGTGGTTTGGTTCACTTAAAATAATTTCAAGATCGGACTGGAACTTGATAAGTAGTTGTGTTTGGTTTCTTTTCTTAATTAAAAATGTATACATCTATCGTAGAAAATGGCAATAGGTACAGAGCATTTGAAACAATGCAGTTCTTTTGTGTTTACTCTTATTCCGTGGGCATTGATAGGGTTAGGAAGCATAAATGGTTCTCCATCCAAGCTGTTCTAATGGTGTATTTTTTAAGTTACGTAGCTTAGATATATATCTCTGACAATATCTATTTCTGTTTTCCAGCATTTTCACAAAAGCCGTGGTTTAAGTCTCTACTCATTTCCAAATGTGATTGCTAGTAGTTCAATGTGGCTGAGCGAGTTTGAAACGCCACTGAACACTTGGTAACTTCAGGATGAATGTAAATATATCAGCTCCATAAGCAGAACTTGAGTAATTACAGTGGATTTTATTTATACCGTTGGTGTTTCTCTTAGACTTCAGGCTCTGTGAACTGAAAACGGTTTTCTTACGGTTTAATTTATTTTTATTGTTTGAACAGGAAGTGAACATAGTTGTTCCCAACCAAGTTTTACTTTTTGTAGGATTTTAAAAGCAATGGTTTTTATCAGGAGTCTATTAAAGTCAATATTAATAACACTGAAGCAGGAAATCTAACCCCCAATATTGGAATTTTGGTACTTTTTTCACATCCTTGCTCTTTATTTAGCAGCCCTGATCCATTTCAATACTGATGGTTTGTTTGTTTTTGTTTTTTAATAGGATTCTATGTGCCTTTTTACCTTGTGGCCTTTTGATTACTCTTACTAAGGTACAGACTTGTCCACATATGCACTGATAGCTCTTCTCTATTCCAACAGGGTCAAATTCACCAGAGAATTGCTTCAAATCTGAAGAACTTAAGTCTCACAAATGTTATGTATCGTGTTTATGATGGAATGGATGACTAATGTTGATGTGTTTCATTATGAAAATAAAACCACAATTTAATTCTAGGCTCCCAATAAGGTAGGCTGTAGGCTCTCCAAACCACCGCTCTAGAGGAAAGGAGAACTATGTAAAATCTACTGCACACAATTCTTTCCTATTAAAACTTAGTTTGAAATGTTTTTAATTATTACCCCATTTATGACCCGGGACTCTAGTATGCACTGTATTATCAGGGCTTCCAAAAGAGTACCTTTTGGGAGGTTTCTGTCAAACGCTTGTTTGATCATGTGAGCTGCAGTTATAGTTTTGATCAGGACTTTGAACACACAAATGTAACAATGCAAATATATGTAGCGAGTAAACTTTGTTCTCTGGAAAGCAAGAAAAGTGAGATAGTGGTCTCTTCAAAAATGACAACGTTGTTGAACATTCTTGTGTTCCTGAAGTTCAGGACAAAGAGTCCACTCTAGCTCTCTACGTGCCCATTGGCCAAGACTTGGAAAAGGGCCATAGAGGATTAACTTTTGTTGCTGCTGCAAATGGAATTTGCAAGCATAGATAAAGAGCTCGATGAAGAAGTCCTCATCCATCATTGTGATTAAAAAACTTACATCACCTTTTTTTTTCCTTTTTTTGTAAAATTCGCGAATGTACCCAAACTGCTGAAACAACATGTTTTGGTTTGGTTTTGTTTTTACAAAGTCAGATTTTTTTCAGAGTTCTCTTCCACTGTACCACTATAAGCTTGTTTTTTTGGGTTTTTTTAGGTGTGTGCTGATCATGTTACTGAGATGAATTACATTGTTCTGCAGTGTAGTTTACATGAAAATGATGTTTTCCACTTGATTGCTGCAGATATCAAGAGTTTGTTACTTATTTAAAAATACCCATCCAGTAAGATAGATGGGGAGATTTTAAAAGTTATATATGTTACATATATATAACTGGAAAGGTTTTATAATAAGCATTTCTTTTATTCAGAATTCTTCCTCTTTTCTCTTGAAGAAAAAGATAGCACAAAAATGAAGAGTTACCTAGGAAACTCATTCATACCCCCAACATGATGTAATTATACCCCTGTGATCACTCCAGCTGTACAGTATACCAAGTAAGAATCAATGCACATGATAAAGAACGTACTGTTCTTTCCTATCTTCCTGGTAAAATAAGGGCCAGTTTGTATGTAGCCCATGTGGATGTGAATGAAAATATGATAAACCTCATGATCTCCTTACACAGAATTGCAAATGCATACTTTTTTTTGCAATGCCAAGGATCAGACTTCAGACCCTTGGAGTTCATGTGGCTGAACTTCCCTCTTACAAAAACCAATGCTTGAAGATGCTGCAAATGAATGGCTCTCTAACGATCCCTAAAAAGAAATCAGGATAGGAATAAATAACTCTGCCTTCAAACCCACCCCATGCTGCAGGGTTGGGGGATGTGAGCGTTCGTGTGAACCTGTCCATGCACGCAGGCAACCAGAATTTGTCCTAGTTACGTGAGTAAAGGACAGTTACATGTGTTTAAAGAGGAGGTGCATTTGTTCCTCAAGCAAGCAAGCGCACCTGTCTTGTACTGCTTTATATCATGTATATTCATAGTAACAAAAACACTCTTTAAATTGTACATGTTTTGGTGCCTTTCTAATGCCTTGCGCTAATGAAAGGCCAAGTAGATGTTATAGCCATAGATAAAAATCAGTAGTAAATTGCACACGGACCTTCAGTTTCCCTGTATATGCCCTTATATCTTGCATGTTAAGAGCTGGATTAATGGGCATGTGTTGCCGCCTGCCCTGCTACATGCTAGACAAGTGTGCAGTAAGTACATAACCACAATTCGTTATTGAAAATGTTTCTGACCGTTCAGCTCATCATAAAAATATAACTGACTCAAGAAAACAGTGGGGAAAAACAATTGCATTTTATTAAAGATCTTGTCAAAGTCTTCCTAAACGTATTTCTTCAATGACAAAGCCTACCTACCAGTTCCTTTGTATCTTAGTTGATGCATTTCGTGTTAATTTAATATTATCACCATACATTTTATTAATCAGAATTGTATAGCATGTGACTCTTGGCTTTCAGGGCTCTCAAAACAATTTTTTTTTAATCCTTTTGTTGCATGTACTGTATGTTTAGAGGCAACCAGTTATGTACTCTATGGTTTTGTGCCTTACACACAGAGTCAATCTATGCAGAATGTATATCATGGGATGGGGTACCAAGAAGTCTTTACTGCACTGTTAGGTGATGGCACACAGAGCATGTCCTGGAACATTTCTGTGCTTAATTACCCAACCAAAGAGATCTAAAGTATGTATGTTGTACTGTAATAGGGGGTTATGCCTGGACAATTTAAGTGTTTTATTTGTTTTCTGAAATGATGTGAACTTATTTTTCTAAACACTACGCTAAATAAACTTTATATTTATACATATCTTGTGCTGCCAATAGTTACTGGAAATATGTATACGGTATGGGTTTTTTTAGGGGGTTTCAAATGTCTTTTTTAATATGGGTAGCCCACCTTATTAGATAAGAAACAAAAAACAATGTTGATCCTATTCCTCTACTTTTGAGAAAATGGGAAAGTAAGGGAAAAGGGAGAAAGGCCCTCAGAAGTTGTGTCGGCTGACACTATGTATAAGGCTGAGAGTCGTTTTGTCCTCGTGATCTCTATGGCATTTTGTCCAGCATTCTGCAACTCACTTCATCGACTGTGCTCCCATTTGTAGGGTTACATGCAGGGGTAAATGATAAGATTTCCTCTGTCTTCAAAGGAAGAAAGACATCCAACATCTTTATGTCCCGAAGGCTGAATATGGTGTCCGGCACACAGTAAATCATCCAGGTACTCTATGCGCTAGTAGAATTTAGTGGGAAGGTCCAAAGACCCAGCCTTACTGAAAAAGTCAGTATCACCAAAGTATGGCCATTAGCCAGATTAGTTACACCACAGTTGGACCCACTGGTGGTTTGACAGAACTGCATTGCTGCCAAGTAGGTAGAAGACTCAGCCTTCGTACAGTTGGGCCTAGTTAAAAATGAACAATTACATGTCTAGTTTTCTGTGCCTCCAACACTGGAAGAGAGACTAGATTCTACAGTGTAGGACCAACAGTACAACTCCATTATAAAACTGCTATCAAATTAATTTTTGTATATTGCATCTAGACTTTTATATTCTCGTCTTTCAGTTTCTTTAGTAATTTTCTGTATAGTTTACCCAGGGCAGATCAACGACTTCAAGTGACAGGGGTTCCAGGTTAAGATTGTGATATGATTACTATTTTACAATCTTTGAAACATTGTTAGACATTTGACTGGGGCGCTGCCCAGCTGACTATTTTTGTGTGGCTCCTCAGACACTACTAAACTAAGTACAACTCTCAATGGGGACTCAAACACTTCTGCTTTATGACTCCATCCCACTTTGCCAGCTCCTTTTAAGAAATGTATGTGGAGGTTTACCTTAGCATGCCACCATTTTCAGTGCAAAAGATAGCCGATGAACAAGATACATTCAGGTAATGGTCAGTGCCAGAAAGCCAGTAACGGTGATGGGGTTGAGAATGAGAAGAGGTGGTGCTGGAGACCTACATTACATTGGTCAGGAAAGGTAACATTTCAGCAGAACAGAATGGTGAGCGCAAGAGCCAGAGAACAGTATTCCAGACAGGAAAGAGCAGACACAAAGGCTCTCAGAGGAGCTAGATGACAGTAGTGCCCATAGGAGTCCCATGGTGGATGCAGTCCGAGGCCAGATCACAGGTAGGCATTTAATGAGTCTGTCAAACAGTGCGGATTTGTGGCTGAGAAGCCACTGGTAGTTCTCAAGCCGAGAGTGATCAAAGTTGATTTACTCTTTCAAAAGTCACCGCTTACGTTTTGGAGCATCAAGCTGTGAAGGACAGACTGTGGGCAGGAATTAGGAAGCTGAGTAAATGGTGCAGACACCATATCTGACCTCTGGCTACAAAAGGGAGAAAGAGAATCCAATTCCTCAAAAGCCCAAGGTCAATTGCCACAAGGCAGAGGTCAGCCATGCCTCTCCCCACCATCTCACTTTCCCTCTCCTGACACCAACCGCTCCTCCCAGGGCACAACTTTTCTGGTATGTTCCATAGTTTGTTGCAATGGCCACACGATTCACAGACAAAACTTAACTAGTAGAGGGTTTGTTAAGAAGTGCACAGGTTTCCACAAGTCAGGATCAGTAAACGGGAAGAATACAGTCATTGGCCCACAGTAGTGCCTCTCGTCAGCCAGCACCCAAGTCTCGTCTTCCATTTCTGATCTCCATGGGCCAAGAAGTCCACCTGCTGCCCTGCCCCACAGTCTCACAGTCTTGGTGCTGCTCTTCTGCTCTGCCTCGTGGTCTTCTTGCATCAGCCTGGTGTGGCAGGGCATCTGCCGCCTCCACCACTTCAAGCAGGGATTTCCAGTGTGCTGTGCTGGTGGCTTTTCTTCTCTGATAGTACTGTGAACTTTGTCTGTTCTTTCTTCTGAGATGGTTCATCCTTATAGAAAGGGGAGTGGCAAATAAAACTGGCCAGTGCTTTCTAGAAGTGTTACACATGCCCTATTTTCAGATAGCCCTGCCAGATCATTTGATGGGAGTTACAGAAATATGGATAGCACCGTATTAAGAAATTTTATTTTGTCACAGAGGCTGTTGCCAGGTTGCCTTGAACTATCAGGCAGGAATTACTCCCAACTCTTTAATTATGTCAGGCAGTTTGCCCATAGACATCTCCAGAATTCTATGCTCTGCAATCCTTCCATCCACTCTGCCTATTGCTATTAGCCAAACTAATTTCCTACTACTGAAGGTCATTGTCTCAGCCTGAACCTGAAGCCTAATTCCAGGCTGGTAGATTCAGCTCCCTGATGGATATTTGCAGAATATCTTATTCACCTAAGACTCAACGTGTGAAAAATTAAACTAGTTATCTTTTCCCTTAAGCCTTTCCCCACCTCTGTGTTCCTCATCTTAATCATTCATTCAACCAATTGGCCAAATAAAAATCTAGGATTCTGTATGGAATCTCTCTCTTTTTTGCCCCTCCCCACTTCCTTCAGATTACTAAACCTTTTTAAGTCTGCTTTTTTCTTTCTTTCTTTTTTTAATTTATTTTAAAAAAAATCATTTTATTGGGGGTTCGCACAATTCATCACAATCCATACATCCACTCATTGTGTCAAGCACATTTGTACATATGTTGCCATCATCATTCTCAAAAATTTACTTTCTACTTGAGCCCTTGGTATCAGCTCCTCATTTTCCCCTCCCTCCCTGCTCCCCAACCCATTAACCCTTGATAATTTATAAATTATTATTATTTTGTCATATCTTACACCATCCATCTTCTCCCTTCACCCACTTCTCTGCTGTCTGTCCCCCAAGGAGGAGGTTATATGTAGACCTTGTCATCTGTTCCCCCTTTCTCCCTCACCCTCCCTCCACCCTCCAGTATCACCACTCTCGCCACTGGTTCTGAGCGGTTCGTCTGTCCAGGATTCCATGTGTTTCCAGTTCCCATCTGTACCAGTGTACATCCTCCAGTCCAGCTCAATTTGTAAGGTAGAATTGGGATCATGATAATGGGGGGGAGAAAGCATTAAGAACTAGACGAAAATTGTATGTTTCATCATTGCTACTCTGCACC